GATACTGGCCTTACTTGACTTTTCAAAGACATTCGACTGCGTGGATCATGAGTTATTGTGCGCTAAACTAAAGCACTCAGATCAGAGATCAGATTTAGGTAACGCTACTTCGGGAGTGCCACAGGGACCTCTGTATCTCTTGTACACATTTCATATGTCTAAGGAAGTCAAATTTTGTCAACTTCATTCATATGACGACACCCCCGCTGTTACACTTACACTGCTAATCTTAGTTTTTAACTTAAAAGATTTCCCAGTATAGTAAAAACACAATTTTCAGCTAAATTCTAAAAAAACATAAATTATGCTATTTGCTCGCCCTGGAAGCTATAATTTTTTGCGTGATCATATTAAAATTCAATTGGAAAATGAAAATCTTAAATTTACAAATGAAGTGAAAAACTTAAGAGTGATAATTAATTGTCAATTGAGATATAGTTGCCAAATTTCGAATTTATGTAAACAGACTTATACATCCCTCAAAACGTTATATGCAAATAAATATACTTTGAATTTTAAAGTCCCAAAGTAAGTAAAGTAATTTTAAAGTAAAGTCTTTCATTATACTATCCATTCTTAATCATTGCCGATAAATTAAGATTATAAAAAATCCGGAACAGCAGTGTTCGATTTGTTTATGGTTTGAGAACGTTTGGCCCCTATATCAGAAAAAATATTTACTATAAAATGGCCCGAAATTATTATTATTATTTTTAATTTTTACCAACTTACCTGAAAGAATGTCTAGTGTTTTGATATGAAATTCACAATACTCCTCTAGGGATGAAAAACATTCTGGATATGCCCCAGCATTAAGCTTCATAATAATTATAATAAATATTTTCAATCAAGCTCAGGTCTAGTATTTAGGAAAAAAATTAAGGTCCATTTATTGGAATTACAAAAGTCCTGTATTTTACCAATAATGAATTTGTAGGTTCTTATTATTATAGCTTGTTGTTTCATTATTATTCTAATATTCGGTTAATGTTGTAAATATCTGAGATCAAGGTCTTAAGCTAGACTTCGCCGTGTGTATATTAGTTTGTATTAAGCATTTTTGCCTAAACCTTGTGCAATAATTTAAAACAACTCAATATATTGTTATCATTATTATTATTATTATTATTATTATTATTATTATTATTATTATTATTATTACTCTATCCATTATGCCCGTGCATCTTCGCTCCTTCCTTGTACTCTCAAGAAAGTACAGTACCTCTTTCATGGAGAGTTTGGATAGTTTCCTCGCGCTCACTAAATTAAGCTCCTACTGCTCTTAACTGGCGTCTTTGGAGGCGACTGCAGTTCATATTTCAATTTTTTAGGCCTAAGCTACCTACATATAAGTACCAAGTGCCATGATACAATTATTTTATCTCTTTTGAATAGTGTTAGAAAAACACCAAACACGAAAGTTAATTCCAATTTATACTCATTTTAACTTTACAACACTATTTATATGTATATCTTATTGGTGAACTTTAAGAGAGATTTCGCGAGCATTAGGTCGCCATATATAAATATATCAGTTTGATTTGCTTTTATCACAATATCCTTATATTATCTGATAAGGCGCTATTTGATCAATTGCTCGTGGCAAACAAAGTATTCATTCACGGTTTTGGTTCCAAAATCACTTCATTATCGTGTTTAACGTCTGCTTAGAATGTGTTCGTTGTGCGGGTATTTTTAAAATGCCGGACGTTATTCTGTTGGCTGTCGTAAATGTCTTGTTTATTTAGACGTTGTAAGAAACGGTCGTATAAACTAAAACATGAACAGGTAGGCACGTAAACAATTGTTAATAAGCAAACCCATAGTTGGGATCGTATACTTAACCTAGCAACCTGGTATTTTTCCAAAGCGTGGGCAGTAGACAAAGTTAATTGCGTAAATACAAAACACATTATGGTGATATTTACTTTGTAATTGATTAGCTTTACTTTTCCTACGCTTCTTTTAAATCAGTAGCACAAAGAGTTTCTTATATTCTACACGCACCCTTATTATTGAAGTATTATTAATTTGTATTTAACTTTGGAACTGAACGATTGTTTTGTAAATAAATTACTATTAAAAAGATGGTTAATATAATTTTTGATGGGGAAAAATCACTTTCATAAAAGCCAACTTTTAGAAATTATTCCTTAAAGGCCCCCACAGACGCTCAGTTTTTTATCACAGGCCAACTGTGCAGGCCAATTTGTGCAGTTTAACTGTACTATTGCCTGTCCCACACACACGCAGTTTTATAGCACAATTCTTTCTATACAGCCAACTGGGTAAATTCACACGCATTACTTTTGGCACGGTTTTTAGTAAAAGAAAATGGCCTCTCGAGACAAGCCATTATATTACATTGTGCTTGTCTGTGTAATAAAAAAAAAGCTAAAAAAGATGGTTCAAAGAAGCAAATGGACCAAAGATTGGTTACTCAAAAGAAATGATTACTCCCATGTTAATTTGCTTGCTCATTTGAAACTTGGGAAGCAGGATTGGTTTAACTACCTAAAAATGGACGAGACAACCTACTTGAAATTATTGAAACTCGTTTCTCCTTTAATACAAAATCAAGACACATGCATGAGGCAATCAGTTTTATGCCGTGAGCGGTTAACAGCTATTTTTTTAACCACGGCTTCCCTATTTGCTCCCGTATCAACTTCCTTGAGTTTTTCGACCAACACATCATAGGCTGCGGACTTTTTATTTCTGTCCCTGTATTCTTTGCCCTTTATTTTCCATAAACATGGTAAACTTTTGTATACCTCAATAAATTCGCTTAAAAACTGTTTGTTAATATTCGTCATTTTGTTGCTTACTAGTTTTGGATTCTAAATAAACCTTAAAACTGAACAAATCAACTGAACGAGTCCACACACGCTCAGGTTTCCAAGTTTGCGCAGGCTAAATTCAAGCACGGTCTGATTTTGCTCAGGCCAGGCCAACGGCCTGCGCAGTCGGTCGGACGTTCACACAAACGCACCGATATGCCTGCACAAACTAGGTTTGCACAGGCGGCCTGTATTAAAAAACTGAGCGTCTGTGGGGGCCTTAACAAAGCTCTTCAAACTGGTGAGCTTCAATTCAATTCCTTTGACAGAGACACTACGTCTCAGAAATTTATCTCGTCGGAAAACGGTTTCTTATTAGAATTTGTTCCGAACGAAATGAATTTTGTACAACGAAGGGACGGATCATGTTGAATCGACTTTTAATGCTTAAGCACTAAATTTTTGTTTTATAAAATCAACAAGTAAACCGCGAGCTTTCATTTTTTTTCTTAGTGTTTACACATTTCAAAAGTACAATTTATCACGGTATAAGCTTCTGCGAAATTTAAGAGACTGCCCAACACATTTTATTGGCGCAATTTTTTTCAGTAGTGTCACTTTTTTAATTACCGAACCAACTGAAAGAAGAAAAGTTTTAAATTAACAAATAGCGTATTATTAATTAACAATAAATAATCAACTAAACAAGAAAAGAAAAAGGGCTGGAAATTAAATTATAATTAATTATTGTGGGTATGTCACTGGAGGGGACCTAATCTTATCATGACTAAATGTGTATGGAATCATAGAAAAGCTTCAGTATGAGCGATTGACGATTTGCGATCTGCTGTTTTTAATAGATTTTAAACACTGATAGTTTTTTGACGTCAGTGTTCTGAGGGACTGGTCTTACGTCATTCACTTTTGCCAATTTTTTGCGTCCAAGACAAATACTAAAACTAAAATAATCAAATATAATTTGACCAATACTAAACACGCAATAATTTTTTGAGTGAATTAGAAAAGATACATTAAGGTTCTCATAATTTTAACACGTCTGTAATAATATCGGAACTGTCGGTGACATTTAAGGTCTTACTCGCACACTCAATAACCGATGAAATTTCCGTTCCGCTTATGATGAATATTCGCGCACACTTAATCCGAATCTCTAATATACAAAGTTTCGCCTCAAGAGAAATCTGATACCGAAATAACGAGCTAAGCACTCATTATTTCATGCCTTATGGTAAACATCAGCGCTGGGGTTTGTTAATGTCGACCTTGACACGATTGGATGACTGAAAGTTGCTTAGAAATGTATTCATTCAGATGATTGATGAATTTTAGCGACCTGATATTGCAAATGGTATTACTTGAGTAATGAGTTAGTGGACTCTAAATTGAGTAGTAAACTCCGAGATGACGTGGATTTTTCGAAAATCGTGGCAAATTAGGCCAATTTTTTCAGGCGGTGTTGTGTTAACGGAATATAGAAAAATGGGTTTTAATTTAATTGTATTGTCGTTAGTTTAGATTCCAAAATTCAGGAAATCATTTGGTCGCACAAAATTAAGCATGTCTTTTGAACTAATTTCGAGAAAAACATGAGAACATTTTGACTCTTAGGACCTGAAAAGGAAAATCTCGCAAATAGCAAAATATTTCAGACCATCGTAGGGTAATGACATATATATACTCACATTTTTAAAAAAAGTTATTAAGTGTATTCATTAAAAATTGTTTTTACTGTGAAAAAATATAACACATATAACATTTTAGTTTAGCTAGTTTTGGTTAGTCTAAAAAGTTTATCAATGGGTTGTATACGATACTTTTCCTACGACCATTACTTTTTAAGTATATTTTTGTAAAATAGTATGGTGAAGGTGACACTTTCACAGTAAAAAAAATTGTTAAAGTTCTTTAAAAGAAATCTAATGTCTGCAAAAATCAAGACCTACTAGCCAAAGCCCACCGAAAATATCCGATTGCTCCTAAACCCGTCCGCAAAATACTGGAAATATCCGAAGTGGCAAACCAAGCTGATAATTAAGTGGCACTTACAAAGGATTACATACAAATTTGGGGGAAAAAATAAAACATCTTCATGTATAATTTATGATTAACATGCCGTCAAACTCACAATTTTTTATAGTACTCAGCTTCGATATGTTTTTCAACTTTTGAAAAGAAGAACAGTAAATAAAATAATCCATATGTAGATAAATTTTATATTATTTCAAATTATAATTTTCGCTATTAAAAATGAAATAAGACACTGGAAATACGACACTGCATCACGGACAACCTTGGAGGACCCAAGAGTCCAAATTTTGGAACTTGCCTACGATGTCGTCCACGCATCCACGAACCGCATCGAAAAGCGAATGAATACCGCTGACTATGGTTGTTTTGATGTTGTCCGACTTGGAACTCAGAAGGTCCTGATAGTGCTTGTAACAACCAGACACGGTCTGAGGTGTGGGTCGCTTACACTCGGGCGGTAATTGATCGTAATATTGGGACAAAGTTTTCGTGTCATTTTTCAGCACCTTCAGTTTATCTTTATCGAAGCATGCCGGGAAACGGCCGAGTTTCACATTGTTTGCCTGCTCTATTATTTTTTGCTTACATTTCTCAATGTGATCGTCTCCATAAGCAATCTAGAAATCAAAAAAGATACTTTCGTCGATGTTAAAATTGGAAATGGGTATTTGATTTGATTTGTACAACTCGGGTGGATAGTACAACAGTACACGTTGCTTTGCGAAAATCATAAAAATGCTAGGGGCACCTGCATCTTTACCGTTTAAAGAGTAACGTTAAACTATCCGTCATATTTTGATTTTGATGTTTCCGAAAGATATGTAAATATTCGATTGATTTTTTCTGGAGTAAATGGTGAAAACCACAACTCGCTATTGTCTTTTTTGACAATATCGTTTTTATTTTTCTAGTTAAAAAAACGATATTTACACATTCTTCAAGCATAACTTAAAGTTTGATATTGTATGAATAGAGTGTAATTTTAAAATGATTCGCTCTTACAAAAACCGATAGAAAATTTTTATAGTTACTCAGATCTTCAAATTGATGATTGTGATTCAGACTTAGCGCCCCCGGTCTATATCAATAAAATGAAAAACATAAATGCAACATTGGTAGAGCTTTTAAAGAAAATATTGCATTATATACAATAATTGAAGTAGAGTAACAAAACATTAGAGTTAATCAGTAATTACGCTCACAAAAAATTACGCGTAATGCGTTTTAGCAACCACACATATATGGTTTAATTTTAATTTACTATTCATTACACAGCCCTTAATATAAAGGGTATTAACCCTAACCTGTTAATTAAAATGCGGTTTTGCGGGACTCTCTAATCCGTTTTTATTACTCTTTTATAATTTTGAAGCTGGTGTAGCTAATTATATATTTTCTGAAGCTGAAATTCGTAAGGCTGCACAAAATGTCTACCACATATTAACTCATAAAAGTTAAGTAATTACCAGATACAAATGATTCGAATGCACGTTTCACTGTATCCTTATAATTTTCTTGTAAAAAATTAGCTTGTAATCTAAATCTCACCTGGAAAATAACAGCAAGTGCTAATATGTTAATAAAAATCTTAGCCATTGTGGATGTTCTCGTTTGTAACAAAATAAAGTTTTTCTTATCTTGACGAACTTTCGTGCAGGTCTGGCCACTAACAGGCAGGCATGTGGAGGCAATTACAAAAAAACTGACTTCTTACTTGCGCACATGGAAAAACTTATCAATCGGTTATTAACTTTTATCGCAACTAATGAAAAACAATAATTAGTACACCTTTTTTCTATGCGTATTTTTTCTGGAAATCCGCTGTACTTTATATCGCATATGACGTTTACACGGACGCTACTTTAAGATTGAGCGTTGGCAACTGATAAATTGCTCAAGTAGCGTTCCAATAACAACGAATTATTAGGAAAAATATATACGAGTTGGGTCAAAAATTTTCACTTCGATTATATAAGTACGAAAATTCTTCGCAATCTAATATTCAAAACATTGCGGTTGGTAAAGATGAAATACAACTTTGTAAATACGAATTTCACTGTTAGCCAAGGCTAGGCACGTCGTTTTGAAAAATATAACATTCCTGTTCTCCTAGACCGCCGATATTAAATTCCATTATTTATGGGTGGATTTTTTTATTTTGCTTTTCGTTGCCGACAGCTCACGAAATTTATGGCATTATTTTCCATTTCCTATTTTTTTTCCTGCTTGAGTCACGTATTCTATAGGGTATTCAAAAATAAGAAACTTTAAATTTTTGTACTGATGCCCAGTGCAGTAGTGCAGTTTCAATTCAGTTTCTAAGGGCATTATAATTTTATTTACCGTAGTATTTGGTGAAGACCTTTTAAAATTAAATATAAAATACTTAAAATGATAGAGCTCTACAAATTTAATTTCTTGCAAATGTGTGAATTATTGTATGTTTTCTTGTGCACGAAATGTATTAGTCTAGTTAGTTTAAGTAGCATCCGGATAGATTTTATCTCGGGCAATAAAATTTTAAAATGCAGATAAAATTAAAGAAAATCTACTATATTGTTCACTACCTGTCTTTCTCAGTACCTACAATTTCCTCTAAATATGTATTAAATATATTACTTAATCAGTTATTTTTGTTTTGTTTTTTTTTTAACCAGTTTATTTGTGTCTTTTTGTTTGGAAAGTCAAAAGGGATTCATTTGGTTCATGAGGGTCTTGGTAAGCAGCTATAAAGTTATTAAAAGACCAACAATCAACCAAACTTGGATTTGACAAATACGAAGGTTTTCTAGTCTTGCGTAGCGATATGCTGTTTTTTTGGAAATCCTTGATGGACGCCAAGTAATTGTGCTCTTCCCTACTAGTGTAGGATTCTCTGGATCCACCATACCTACCAACTAACTAGCATTACTAGTAAAAAATCCCCTTCCTCCCTTTTGCCCTTTCTTACTACTTCCATTCACTACCTCTTCTTTTTTGCAACCTGTTTACGCTTCTATCTGATCTGTCAGTTTCATTTCTTTTGGCGGCGAAGGTCACGGCGAAGCTGGTGATTGTATTTCAGTTCTCTTTGTTTTGTAGAATTTTCTTAATTATGGTTTTGGGTGTAATTATTTCTACCTTCTCTATGACTCTCGTTCTTTCGCACTCGAAAAAGTGTGTTTTGCTACGTGCAGTATATACATTTGTTTTGGCTTTGGAGTTTGCATAGCTTATTTTTGTAGCATTTTTTTAAGTTGTCCCGTTCCATATCATGGCTCCATACAATATAATTGATTGGACTGTAGAGCAAACTACTCTTCTTCAGTTTTCTTGAACGTCCAGTTTTAGGCATTAATCTGTTGAGTTTTTTTATTGCTTTGTCCGTATGTTCTACTACATTTGTTATGTGAATTCCCATGGTCAATATATATTCTTAAGTATTTGTGGTATTCGTTGTTTCGTTTAAGTTGATTGTAGCACTTCTTGTTCTTGTCCTTCTTGTCTTGGAAAAGTAAAGGTCGTCAGTTGGACTACTCTAATTAGAAATATATCTTATTTTTTAATTATCATTTCGTACATTGGTCCCATTCTCAATAGCAGCTAAAAAATGCTAAAATTGAGAAAACTTAGCATAATCCAAAATTTCAAATGACTGAAACGTTATTGAGGTTTTGGAAACTATATTGTATGTACAAGAATTCTAAAAACATTAACAATTTGACATTTCTAGTTTTAAGGCGTTTTACAGAAGCAAATACATAACATTTTCTGTTTGTTAATAGAATAGAATTAATTTGTAAGTTAAGCATACGTGTCTTTTTTTTATTTCAACTATTGATAAAGTAAACGGAAACGAAAACATATTTCAAATGAAAACTAAAAAAATATTTAAAAATGTTTCAGTCTGCACTCCATAATATTAACGTTATCATTATTATAAATATTATTCTCCCATAAAATAGGTTTTGTTCCATACCATTATAATTGGAGGGGCGCAAATAAAGGAAAAAAGCAAAAAAAAGTCAGGTACCATCAAGAATTTATTTGCTTGCAATTATCCGACATTTTTTTGAACAGAAATAAATATTCCAAACAACAATTAATTCCGATTCACGTTAATCGTTCAACCCTGGTAATTATCCGGGCATCCCTTCAAAATATAGTCGTCCAAACCATTAAACTGGGTAGTCAATGTTTTGAAACAACCCCTAACGCCTTCAAAGAGGGCGCTGATGGCACCAACGACACCCGACTTTATCTGGTTACTGTTCGATTTGAAGAAACCGTTGGTTAATTCCAAACATCCTTTGATTTTCTCCGGAGTGGGTTTCTTGCATTCGTCTGGCAGCGTATTATAATAAACCGAGAAAATTTTCGCGTGTTCTTTTGCTTCTTGCACTTTACGTCCGTCAAAACAACTAGGCAGTTTGTTGAATTCGATTTTGCTCGCCTGTTCCATAAATTTCTCCTGGCATCTCTTTAGTTTTTGGTCGTCATTGGCTGCGCGCGTATTCTGAAATATAAATTCGTTAAATGAAACACTCAAAATATGTAACCATTAAAAAAGACGTATTACCTGAACGACACCAACTAAAATGGCTAACACGAATACCGTTACGTTCGATTTCATTTTACTATATGCCTGTCTATGTACAAAAAGCGCCGTTAACAAGACTTTGACCAAATTAACTACTTTTATGCACGAACGATAGTACTTGTATTGTTCGCGTTTCGCTTCTAATGATACCATTTAACTATTTTATCAAATTCTAGGCAAAAACAAACTCTTATCTGCTCGTTTTACGTGTGTGAATCATTGAGTTAATAGTTTGAAAAATTGACAGCCCCTGTCTTGGATGGATAAGCATTTCACTAATTGCTTATTACGTCTATAGAGAATAAATGTCAGTTTTTGTCGGAGTGGTAATAATTTAATTATAAGGCTGTCATTTAGATCAACATATTGATTATGTCCCCCCTCATTGGAATGGGACTAAATGGGATTCCATTGAATTGGACAAACTCATCTTTTGTTTTGGTACCATCCAGCTTTTAAAGCGCCATTTTAAATGTTAGACATGAATATTAATAATTACATAATTAAAATGTCGTTTGAATAGAACTCGAGCAGAAAACGAAATGTTTCTCGAAATTTCTGTAAACGATTCGTTTTTTGTGTAAAGGAAAATTTTTAATAATCCAGCATAATGTCCACGACCAGTTTTTTAGTATTATTTTTTCTAATGCGGTCTTTTCGATTGCTTATGGTCACTGGTGTCGTTTTGGAGGACGTAGAAATCTATAAAATGACACTCTGGAACAAATGGTTATACAACGTGCCCCCAAGTATAACGAATAAATTACAACAGCGCATTCAGCAGATGAAAGTAGTAAAAAAGTTCACATAAAAAACCGTTTGTTCCTATTTTTAGAAAATCTAGTCTGGATTTTGCTTTCAAACTTATATTAATTAATCTAATTTATAAAATTTCTTATCATTAACTTATTATCATAATTTCTGAATTTAACTAGCGCCAATAATCTTACCTTAATTTGCAAATCTTAGATATTAGTTGCACATGCAAACACTTTATTTTCGCAAAAACTGTTTGCTTTAGCGAAAAAACTGGAGGGGCCATTTTTGTTTAGAATTTATCAGGATAAATATCCTGATAAATAAATTATTAACAAAATTGCGATTTTATTATTTAAAATAAAACGGTCTCACGAAACGCCATTGGTTAAAGAAAAACAAGTTTTTCATTCTGTACATGTGTTTTTAGGTTGCAATAATACTACTATATTTGAAAGCATAATCTAGGAAAGTTTTTTAATAAGTAAAGCAAATCTTATTTTTATCTGGTTAAAACGCTGTCAAAGTTCCAATATAATTTGGCCCACCCGGTATATGCAGTTATTTTTAAAGAAATACAACAAATGCTATCCGCTAATTCAACGAAGAGCAAACTTTCATATCAGTAGAAACTTTTGCCTACAAAATTTTCTCTTTTCTGATATTATACAATTTAAAGCTATGTTATGTTTTGAAAGCACTAAACCACCACACACGCAAAGTTTGTTTTCGAGGGTTAAATAAACTCCCATTATTTTCGAACCCCCAAGTTCGAGCAAAAACATTTCATGAACTGGCGACTTGCAATTTTATAAAACGTCCGAAAACGATTAGAGCAAAACCTTCAATCCTTGCATGAAAGAGAAGTAAAAATTCTGTATTATTTATAAAATTTTATTAAATAATAAATGTAATAAACCACAATTCTTAGGATAGTTAATTATTGATATGTTTAATGAATCAATATTTCGGACTGAGGTGGCTTTTACTTGATGAAAATCCATTTAACACAAATGAAATTAGAACAAATAATGTTCAGATTTTCACAATTCTTAATGCTTTATGGCAGCTGTTTCGGCAACACCATGCCTATATTTTTAATTACAGGTATAGGGTTATAAATTTAAATTTAACAAGATAACTCTCTAAACTTTCTGGACTTTACCATTTACCATAAACCCATAAACCCTCACACACGGACACAATAATACATAATAGCTCAAATTACCCGTACACACAAAATATCTGCCTTTTATGCTTATATCAGCACTACTTAATGTACCACTTCCACAGAAAATTTTCAAAAAGAATTAAATATTATAAAACAAATAGCTTTTAACAATGGTTACGACCCCTCTTTGATAGATCAGATTATAACTAAAAAACGGTTTCAAATAACTCTGAACTCTATCTATCCCATACTAAGCACCGAAAACAAAATTTATAAAACAATAAAATGCATAGGAGAAGGAAATTTCGAAACATATATCTAAATTTGGTATTAATATTGCTTTTAAATCTAAAAAGACCAGACATTTTCTAAAAAAACAATAAAACGAAATAGAACATTTTAAAACATTATAAAAGGGCATATAAATATAAAATTTCGGACTCTATGCTATTGATTTAAATTCAGAAATGCACAACTTTGAGGATAATTTTGGTATGTTACATAATCTTTCGAAAACCAAAAAATTAAATTTGTTGGAAGCCATTAAAATTAACAAAATGAGATATTCGAATTTATTACTAGACCAATTGGATTTAAATGCGCCTCCGTTGTTAAATTTAGATTTATAACCCTATACCTATAATTAAAAATCTATTACTGCCTGTTTTTATATATAAGTGTCGGCATATAGTCATATTTTGTATTTGATAAAGGCACGGTGTTGCCGAAACAGCATTAAAGCATAAAGTATTAAAAACTGTGAAAATCTGAACATTTCTTGTTCTAATTTAATCTAAATTTTTTATCATAGTTGTTTTTGACGATCTAGACAGAATTTTGCAAAAAAAATTGAAAAATTATACACAGGACTGATTGAAATTAAATGATGTTTCTGGTGAGGTATCACCCATTTATGTCTCGGTGAGAAGTTATTGACCGTTTTTGCTTTTAAAATAAAAATTTTTGAAACTGCTTGGTTTCATTTTCGCTGGGAGAGACTGCTTACAAAAATTTGTTACCAATGCCTCCAAGGACGAGGTTTTAGATCGTCATGACATCGTCGACTTTCGTTTATTAATTTTATTTAATTTTGCGCTCGGCAGAAATTGTAAAACACGCTTTTCTCTAATTCATTTTCAGAACACGGTCATTTTGTGCACTCTCGGGGTTGGCGGCACATTCGGAGAATCCATTTTGCAGGAGTTACCACGCGATACCACAGTTGTAACGCAATCTACTTGCGAACTGTTGCGGGTGGAACAGCAAGATTTTAAGCTCATTTGGGAGGTAAGTAGATATCTAAAATGGACGCAAGTATGAACCTTAATGTGTAGGAGTATACAGATATCTTTAGACAACTAGATCAAAGGTGCTGCTAATGAAGTAATATGAGATAAAATGTTTCCTCAGATTCTAAAATCAAACATAATAAAAGTTTTATCATTGTGCGTTCACCCTACACTCCATTTACAAAGAGCATTCGCTTACTAAAATGTCATTGACCTATGAAATAATTATTTTGATAAAACTATTATATAAAAAAAATATTTCAGCGTCATAGGCTTTTAAGAGAGCTAAAAATGAAATTAAAAAAAAAATATTATTTTATTTAATTTCAAAAGTTGGAATATACCTTTCGTCTTAGTTCCCATGCCGTTATATATGTATAGACCAGAAAATACATACAGGCCCTGCCTATGCTGAACATACAGTCATTTTTAGAATGGTGATGAAGAAAATGTTGAGATGGACCATTTAATATGCGCATGCGGGGTCATTTAAAATCTCGTTTTTAACCAATTGAACGTAACGGCGGTCAACAATCAATTTGGCCTCTGACATTCCGTCGATTCGACAGTTTTCAGCTTAGATCTGGCATTTTTGCTACAGTGTTTTCTCAAAATATGCCCAGATCTCGTTTTAATGTTCTGGGAAAACCAGTTGACTGCGGGAAGAGGGATGTTTAGAATGAAAACGGCACAAATTGCAGATTATTAGGTGAAATTTAGAGCCATACGCAGAAGAGCCTTACCTTTATCACTACAGTCAATTCCTACCTTACTATTGGGCCACTATATTATCTAATAGCTATATTTGCTCATCATAAATACTGCCCTTATTTCAAGTTTTTTTTTTCATAGCTGCTTCGTATCTCTGGTATTTTTACTATAAACCCATCAAGGACCCAACAATACTGGTATCATGTTGTGTGTAAAACACGAAATAAAGGATAAAAATTTGTGAGTGTGACGCAATAGGCAACTGAGGAGCGTCAATTCCAATTCCATTTTTTACACCAACTGTGAAACAAACTACATAAATTGGAGTATGTTTTTTTCTATTCGGTTCGATTTGCATGTAAATATGCATAGCTCATTCATATTTTTCTCGAAATTAATTTATATGGACTTGACCGGTTTTGTAATCCTGTTCGTTTGATTTCTATTTTATTACGATGAGATTGTTCAAAATCATAGGTCTATACAGTTTAAGGGATTTAGATCTCTGTTTACAGAATAGAATGCCAGTATGATTATATAAACCAATACAAGGCAAAAAGAAAAAAAAATGAAAATCTGACATGTCGATCCCATAAACCACAATCTAAGTAGATTTCGTAGAGTATTCGATTATAGAATGGCGCAAGCTAATTATTTTAAGGCTTAGCGCCAATATGTAGTTAAATTATCTCCAGTATGTAGACTCATTATTGGTAAACAAATTTGCGTAGATAATTGCATTCGATGGTGAATGGAGCATGGTTACTGATAATTACAAAGCTGTTTCTAGGCTATATTCGGTAAATGGACTCATCTCATTGTTAACAGCCTATTGCCATTGATTTAAACGATAAATTACGCTAATTGCAATTTATTAACTTTTCGTTGTATAAATATTTAAGCCTTGCGTAGGTATTAGAATGAAACTTGTTTAGGTAAAATTATTTTTAATTAAATCAATAATTGCATCAATATTTGAAATTGTCACAATTTAGAATCTAAAAACTGAGCAACAAATTCAATATACTACTGTTTTTAAAGACAATGCAAGTTAAAATATATTTTAAATAAATGCTGCAGAAATTGGGAATCTACTAAATTATATGAATTTTTTTTGAAAATGCTTAAACAAATATTTTATTAAAAACATGTAAAAATAATAAATAATGTATATTAATGCGATCACTACTTTACAAATGAAATTATTAATATGATCGAAATATATTGGCTAGTTCAAACTACATTTTTATTTCCATTTTTTTTCTGGAGTGTCTACGAGCAGGGAATTGACACAGAACTTATAGAAAATATCGATATTTTGCGGCCGTGCGAATGCGGTAAGGTCACAGTTTGATTACTCGAAAACATTAAACGACATTTTGTAATCGTAAATATCAGCTGACCACGAACTTTCTCATAACTAAGAGCGTTTTTGCGATGTTATTTGATTCACAATAAAATTGTCCCTGATTTTAGATTTTCAAAATAAGTTTAATTGGTTCGACCATATTTTTTTGAAAAAATAAGACGCCTGTTTCTGATGGTGTGAATATAACGGGACTTTATAGTTACAACAATGTTTTTTTCGATTTTTGAAGTCGTATATCCGCTAAGTCCAATGATACCGCAAACGAATACGAGTTTAAATATCTTATCGAATAATCCACGTCAAACAAATGAACAAATTTTAACCTCTAAAATGAACGGAACTTAGGCGATCATATAATTGCGTATTCTAACAATTAGATGGCGGGTAAAATAATTAGTAGTGTTTGGTTAACTTGTTTTTGATCGCAGACACTTCTAATTATAATTTGTTTTTAAATTGTGAATGTCGAAGTGCTTATTTTTAGCCGTCGGTATGAAATCGCTCAAGACTCTGATACTTGTCTGATTTTGTATACGATCCCCTCGTGGCAGGCTCTAATGTGGTGTTTTTGTGGTTTTCAGAAAAACAAGGAGCTTATGAACGAACTGGTCTCCAATTGCAAACTTAAAAATGGTAAGTGTTTATGTTTGTTCGCGAAAATATGAGGAAAGCATCAATTTCATGAAGGTTTCTGTGCAAATACAGACATTTTGGAAAATTGATATTTGTTGTTGAATGATTATCAAAATTCTGTCGAAAAGTCAATTTGATATGATTTATTATATACAACTAATTTTTTGCATTAAGGATTCGTTATCTCATTTTAATAATATAATCCAAGGCTCAAGTTGCAAGTCGAGAGATTCAAAATTATCGCGGGTGCATAGTAAGAAATTATTTTATACAAAATGCGGCTAATAAAATTTTTTAAAACCCTTAAATATGAAAAAAAAAGTCTTTTAGTGTTCGGGGGGTACAGCGCAGAGGGAAGATTGTACATCGTATTTACTTCAATTACTTATAATTCTTTTAATTCCTTGCAATCTCTTAGAAACGCGCAACTTGTTTGTAGTTATTTTCGTCGGCGTTCCCTTCGTGTCACTGCGCAATGGCTTGATTGGCTTGCTGTGGCCAATTGCCAAAAAACTGTTTTCCTTAAATAGTTTAAGGAAACGCTTTTTCTTTCTATACCCAGAGACAGCTATTATTTGAATTGAATTCAGTTAAAACACAGTATGCAACCAATTATACGCCTCCGTATTTTTCCTCGCGTATGAGGAAAAAAGTCAATTTTGGGTTGAATTTTAATTAATTTTGCTAACAGCAATAAGAAATCAGCAAAAATTTACATGTTTTGCCGCAAAATCATTTAAGGCAATCTGTCGTATATTGCAAGTTCTACCGATGCCTTATAGAAATGTCCAAATTCTAGTTCAAATAGTTGGAGAATATTTATGGTCCGCACGAATAAATACAGTAAAAAGAAAACAACTGGACCTTCCGTTAGAAAGTGGGGAATTAAATCAAATTAAAATTAAAATAAAAGCCTTTTTACTATTTATAAAACCTCACTTTCTTGGTCTGCCACAATAAAGTTTTGTTGTATGTCCTTCATGAACTAATTTTTTTAAGAATATTCGCAATAATATTAAAAAAAATTTAAGTAATATTAAATTCAAAATAGAACATTTGGAATTTACAATGTTAAAAAACAGCAGAACAGGCAAAATATCTACAGATAAATTAGATTTTTTTTATATATTCTAAAAATATGGACCTCGCAATAATGATATGTTATATGATCTTGCAAATTTAAATAACAGTATAATAAATCAAAATGAAGATCATAAAATTTCAAAATATTTAGATCCTATGGTGGACGGAAATGTTTAACAAAATTTAGAAAAATTATAGGCAAGTACAGTGACTGTTTAGAGCCTTTAGAACATAGAACTCAAAAAAAGAAAGAGTGTTTGCTGGTTTCTTATTTAGAAAGATATATACAAAATTATTCGGAAGGGCTCAATAAATAATACATCAAAAAATATTGTGTTTTAATTTTGAAAAATGGTATGTTATCTATATATAAGGTGTTCAAGTTTTCCTTTATTTTGACACGCTTGTTACATAACTGACTGAAAACACAGTTTTTATTGAAAAAAAAAGGGGCTTCAAAATAGGTATTTTTTTCTTATATGAATTATTAGAACTGTATATTGTACAGGATGTTTCAGAAAATAATTTCTGGGGTAAATAGAATATTATATATTACGTTGGTTTGGTTAATATCAAACAAACATGATACCTACATGAAATGAAGACGCTGCTAAAATCTGCTTTCTCTCTTGAAACTTGTTTTTATTGGGATACTTTAATTTTTTTGGCAAATTATTGTGTTTAAGGTTTAAAAAAATCATGCTTGACTGTTTCGGGGTGAACCATGTAGTAAAAATGTTGTAAATTACTTTGAACTCGAAATTTTTCAGCAGTTACTTTTATGACCCAATAATCAAAGGTATTTTAGGTCTAAATTTCATTTAGCGTTACAAAAATAATAATAAAAACAGGGCAATTTTGCATACGTATTTTTTAACCAAACTAATATGCAATATACCTATATATTAGCGGAACTATTACCTGCATAGCAAATTTACAAAGACAAATTAAACTTTCGATTGATGGTATCGTTTTGTTGCTAACGAAGCCATTATAAGATAGCTTGCTTTCTTGAAAGAACTAGTAAATTCGTAAATCCCATCGGCAAAACTTTCTGTATTTGTTCCATTGCGACGTGGTGAAACTTTGCTATTAAACGGAAGTTACGAATTGCTCAATTGTATCAATAAACAACAGATATTTACTTCCTTGTTAAACTTTGCTTCAAAACTTATTCCCCTCCTTACAAAGCGATTAACTTCGGATTAGAGTTACTCCAAAACATATCGAGGTATGGGGAAATAAATGCCACGTGCCGTAGTTAGAATTAGTGCGTCTGCGTTATAACTACTGCAATTTCGCCAAATCCGCATCGTCAACGCTAATGGATTGGTCGGTTTGAAAGCTACCAAGCTCTTTCTCACATAATTTGAATCGGGCCGTTTGGAACAGATCCCTTTTTGTGTCTGCGTTTATAATAGAACCCATTGCAATAATGCTCAAGAGGAGTAATGTACAGAATGTCGCTAAAACGGACATCAGTCCAAATGTGGATGATTTCGGAGGCAAAAAGCGTCAAAGTTGATTTAAGCTAAATAAGTAATAATTTTTGTCAAAACTTTTTTGAGCCGCACTGTATTTAATTTTTAGATTCACATTCTTATTGCGTAATACTTTTTATAAAACTTCTGGATTCATCCTGCTTCCGTTTTTGTTGAGTCGAACTAGCTAACGTTTCGCCAATCATCCTGAAACAGTTTGTCAAGCTCTGAAGAAGCCGACAGGATGTTTGGCGAAACGTTAACTATTTCGACTCAACAAAAACCGACGCAGGAGGAATGCAGAAGTGTTATAAGAAGTATTATAGTAGCCTGTGGAAGTTTTTTTAAAAAATTCTTATTCTGTGTTTGAGAGAAAGTTCTAAAATTATCGACAAAAATAGAATATTTTAAAAGATGTATGTATGTATGTATGTATCTGGAAGGAATAAAGGACTACGTCAGGGATGCTGTGTCTCCCCCACCCTTTTTAAAATATATGTGGCAATGGCACTAAAAAAATGGAAAAGAAAAGTCCAGGGCATGGGAATAGAAATTGATGGTGAATGCTTATTTTTAAAAACCGATTAATTTACTTTGTTATAGGTAATAATAGCAGAATAGATTATTAAGTAATAATTGAGATAACAAAATATGTAGGCGCTGAATAGAAGTAAGGTTTTTAAAATTTTGGAAAAATGCTATTTACCTATTCGCTACAGAAGGTATAGAGGCCATTCTAGAAGATTTAAAATAATTTCCGGAAATTTCTCGTTCCTTTTTGGTCATTCTTTAGCCCCAGGCAATGGGACCCCTGTACTTTTTTCTTGATTTTTTGAAAAAATATTAACTAAATAAATTATATAAATTAAACTCTTACTACAATAAACACATATTTTCCCTTCAAAATTATAGGTATGTGCAGTTTTGTCTGAGTTTTTGGAGCAGGCACATCTTATGTTGTTGGTATCTAATGCCAAGATAAAACAGGGCAACAAAAAATTTTAATCTTCTGCTAAAATTAAGATCCTGGAAAAGCAAGTTTACCCAATGTGACACAGAAAAGTGAACCTTTTGAACAATAAGCCGGAAAATGCGATAACGCGGACCAGGAGATGAGCGGCTGGCTTTTACCTTGGCTCCATTTTCCGCTTATAGGGCGTGACAACGGCCGCGGTCCCTGCTTTTATTTCAACTTCATATAATTCTTTTTTTCCTAGATTACGGTCCCTCGAGCTGCTTATTTGCTCGAATAATTCTATTTTATTTCATACGCAGTGCCTTAAGTGGGGCCAGCCGGAGAAAGACACGCAAAATTATCAAACACTTTGTTTCACTCGCCATTACTTCTTTGATATACTTTGACCAGAAATATAGTGCTTTTACAACAGACCCCGCGAATTACTTTGCCTACTGTTTATTACTTCAAAACCCTTATAGAACACACTAACAAGCAGGTTATAAGTATGTTTTCAATCTTTTTCGCCGATCAATTCTTGAAATATATACACAAAAAAATTAGTACAAAGTAACAATTTATTGCAGTCTATTTCATTACATTTCTACAGAGTATCATTATTTTCGCAGTTACACCAGCTTTGTACCGATATTTTAGGTACGTCTTGCCGAATTACGTTTATGGTACAATCACTAATTTTTGGTGCAGTGTTATTTCTTCTTATATGCGTTTTAAACTCAGACCAAATCATCTCAATCGAGTTAAATATACAATGATACTGGTGTAATCTCAAGATTTCATGTCCGTTTTGTTGTGCTATCGAATCGATTTTGTAGTCTTTATTCATTTGTTTTAATTTTAATAATTCCAGAAGTTGTTTTTTGTGTAGCTATCTTCAAAATATAGCTCATTTTTGTACAGAAATTCTTTAATGTCCTCTTTATTTGAAGAAATATCTGGAATTTGGGCTGAATGATACGAAGCATTATCCAACACAATAACGGTATTTGGCGATGGTTTTGCAACTGTTTATTTTCAAACTTCAAATATTTCCACGGTCATGTTTTCACTAATTAACACTTGAATCTTTTACATTTTTGAAAGACATCTTCGACCCCACCATTTTTGGACCCAGCATGAACAATTATTATGCGTTTTTCGTGTGATGGCGGCACGTCTAGTACACGCTTGTTACTGTTATCACACCACCACTTTTTTTACCGTGTCGTGAGTGTCGAACGATCCGTCTAAATACACTATTGGCCTAATTTGCTCTCGAAATTGTTCATTTTCATTTAAATAATCCACCCTCTACTGCGAAATTCTTTGAGATTCCGTTAGCACTTGACGATTATTGTTTGGAACTGAAAATCGTTGTACATTATACGCCTTATCAGATCTGCTTGTTGCTTCTTAAAAACTCGCGAAGTTCAAGCCTCTTCGCTCACTTTTCTCTTGACTATTCCATTTGCAACAATTTT